GTCCTTAATTGATTGACCACCACTTATTTCTTGTTTTGTGTTGTTGTGAGAAAATGTAGCATGTCTAGGGGTTCTAAAGAGGCATTTGGAAATTACAATGATATGGAATCTAATTGCAGGGGAAGTAAATTCTCATAAATTGGAACATCAACATGGCATAGAATGCATGAAAAGTGCAGTGTTCGAAGATACTTGTCTGTGATTAACCCACTGCAAAACAGAAATAGACTTTATCAGTTGTTTTAGATGATGTACTATCCATGAATTTCTATTTTCTGGACCTGCTAATTATCTTATATTCTATTTAATATCTCAGTTTCTTAAATGGTAGGAAATCCTGCTTATGTTTTGTTTCTAACTAAGAAGTTGATTGTCAAATTTGAAATTGGCATCTAGCATATTTTGACCTTAAGCTTATTTGTCATTATCAATTAGTTGTGTCATGATACTATCACTGTTCGAGAAATATTTTGAGACTTTAGTCTCTCTCTCTCTCCTTTCCTCCCAACAAATGTCCAGTATGAGGCACATGTTAAATACCTAGTATATGTTTCTTGTTCTAATTATCTTTCTTTCATATTTGCTCTGTATGCCTTTTTCTTTGATAATCATGGGTGTTCTGTCAACTTTTGCACCATGGCTAATCTCACAAAATAGCCATTTTGACCCCTCTAATGTTTGGCATGAGAAATCTCGTAGGATTTTAATGTCCGATTGATGGTCATTGTGGGTTGACCCCACAATGCTTTAAAGACTTTCAGTTTACAGTTTGCCTCTTTGATAACTGTGCCTACGCACATTTGTTCATACTGTAACATTACCTGCCTGAAAGTCTATAGTACAGCTAATCGACAGATTCATGGTTAATTTCACCCACCTGTGCCCAGTCACCATGCACATGTGCGTGCATACCCAAAAAAATAAAAATAAAAATGAAAAAATGAGATCAATTTTGCATAGTTTTGTCAGTTTCAATTTTGGTCCTGACCTATGTAGTTTGTTCCAATTTTGTTCTAAACCTTTTATGAGCTTCAATTCTACTGTCAATCTATTAAATCCTCTAGGTACTTTAACGGGAATTCTGAACAAAAGAGTTTGTCAGAAAGCAAATTAAAGGATTGGAGGTTAAATTGAAACTTTCAAAGCATTAAGGGCAGAATTAAAATCAGATATGGGCAAGGATTTTATTTCAGCAATATTCCTGGGATGGAGCTATCTTGAGTTGGTTCTGTTGTGTTGTTAATTAAGCTTCTTATTGTAGTGTGTGCTGAGAAGGCTTTTCTTGATTTCCTCTACTGAAAAGATGTTTGTTTCAATGTTTGTGAACAGCCAGTAACATTTCAGGTGCTTCATCATCTGTGGAAAAACTTTCAATAGGCGAGTGCCTGACAGGGAACTCACTGGAAAATCACGATTCATTTCCTGTGAGAGACCAGAATGCAAGTCTTATCTTGAATAGACATGCTGTTGGAGCTGAAAGAACATCCAATTATTTTGCTCATAGTAATGAAGTCAATATGATGAATTCTCAGTATGAGAGTAGTCTCTTCTCGAGTTCTTTATCTGATATATTTACTAGGAAGTGTAAGTCTCTTGATTGCTTCCTCACATGTATGTACCTGATGAGGATGCTGGCTAATGAACTGAAATCTAAAGGAACTTGCAAATAAGTTCTGAATGAGATTCATTCTTGGCTTGCTCAACCTTATCAACTTTATCCCTGTAAGCCATTCTTTTACGTGTATTTATTTGTGCAGTGCGATTTTCTCCAAGCAATGCACTATATGGCCATTCTGTTGACACTGTTGCATCACACTTTGAGGAGGAGGAGGTTTTTGAGTCACTTGAAGAATTGGAGGCCCAAACCATTGGAAACCTCCTCCCTGATGATGACGACTTACTTGCTGGAGTAACTGATGGGCTTGATTGTTTGGTTGAAACAACCGGCGAGGATGATGCTGAGGACTTGGATTTCTTTAGCAATGTTGGAGGGATGGATTTGGGCGATGATGGCATATCTGTTGGACAGAAGAATTCTGAATCTCCTGGAGGTATTTTTAACAATTTGCCAGGGATGTTTAACAGTGCTATGGCTGGAGAGCATCCTTTAGGTGAACATCCTTCCAGGACACTGTTTGTGAGAAATATAAATAGCAATGTTGAAGATTCTGAATTGAAGGTTCTTTTTGAGGTGCACATTTTTCTTACTCTCTATGTTGTTTCCTTTGTGCTTTTCAAATTATCATCTCCACTAATTTATATATCTACACTTTTTTTTAATAATCTGCAGCAATATGGAGACATTCGCACTCTTTATACAGCCTGCAAACATCGAGGGTTTGTGATGATATCCTATTATGATATTAGAGCTGCTCGGAATGCAATGAAAGCACTTCAGAATAAACCATTGCGACGGAGGAAGCTTGACATACATTATTCTATACCGAAGGTTGGTTTCTGCTCAGTATTGTCTTATCTTTTTGAGTTCAAGTCACCAGTGGTGGATCGATTTGCTGACCTTTAAGACAAATGTAAAATGCATTAATTGGTTGAACTATTATCTTATTTGTTGTTCCATTTTAAGTAGCTGTTTACGAAGTATCTGAATTTCATGGAGATTTATTCTTAATCTATCATTACTAACCGCATCAAGTTACCTTCCTTAAATTCTTTAAAGACTTCTTTCGTTCCTCACATCTTTCCTTATACTACTTTTTCAGGACAACCCCTCTGAAAAAGATATCAACCAAGGAACTCTTGTTGTTTTTAACCTTGAGTCTTCTGTTTCAAATGAAGAACTTCGTCAAATATTTGGTGTCTATGGAGAAATCAAGGAGGTGTGGCCGTGATTCCTTTTTTTTTTTTTTTTCATTGCATTCCATTATATGCTCTGAGCAATCTGACACTGTTCTTCAAAATTGTAGATTCGTGAAGCTCCCCTCAGAAGTCATCATAAATTCATTGAATTTCATGATATCCGAGCTGCAGAGGCTGCTCTTTGTGCATTAAACCTGAGTGATATAGCAGGCAAGCAGATAAAGCTTGAGCCAAGTCGTCCTGGTGGCGTGAGACGCAGGTTCTGACAAATATGCTCTTTTGATGCTTGTTTATGCTTAGTTTCAATCCTAGCCTCGTTGAATTTATATATACATATATATATATATGTCTTCTTATCTCCAACAGAGTTAGATTAGAAGGAACAAGTTATTAGCGGATGCTAACAAATTTATTTATTTATCTTCGTGCTCCAGTTTGGTGCAACAATTACATCCACAATTGGAGCGGGAAGATATTGGTCTCTATTTGAAACAGGGTAGCCCACCCATTAACAGTAGTGCCGGCTTCTCTGGTATTATAACCAAAAGAAAATCATGCTCGTTACTTGTGAATTCTGAGTATTTTATTTGTCTCACCCAAGGAAAATATTGTAGGCTTAGTTCCTGGTGGGACTATCAAGTCTAGCAGCATGAGTAATGGATCTGTTATTGGAGTACACTCTATGATGCGAGCTCCATCTCTGGAGACTGTGTTGCATCATGGGATATCTTCTAGCGTTCCAAGTAGCTTACCTTCTGTGATGAGATCTGAATCAATTGGCAACCAATCTGGCTTCATTGACTCTGGTCATTCACCTTCACAACTAAAGCTGGGTATCCGGGCAGCTTCGGCTATTCATCCTCATTCCCTTCCAGAACATCCTGATGGGTTGAACAACAATGTTCACTGCAATTCTATGAATGCAATTGCAGGAAACATCAGTCTACGACCACCCGAAAGAGCTGATAGCAGGCAGCTATGTGGAGTGAACTTTAATGGTCGCTCAATTGAATTAAATGAAGATGGTAGGTTTAATTATTTTCACGATTTGTCCTATAATGATACTGAATGTCTTCTTGAATATTTGATCAAGGGTCTTCATTTTCCATGTTCAATTGAAATGGTTGGTTCACTATGCAGCTGATTAGAGATTCTTAATAAACTATTCATATTTTCTTATAGACATCAAGTGGGTAGCTTTTTGTGATCCCTAGTTGGTAGGTTTTGGGGGGTTCCTTATCCCTTCTTTTGTCCTCGGTTTGGTTTTAGTACTTTATTATGTTTCCTGCAAAAAGCAGAAAACAAATTGCTGAAATCTGCGCTGGTGAATGGTGTTTGACAGGTTCCAATCCCCTTCGCAGGCATGGGCAGAACATTATTATGTTTAAATTGATTGTTACTTACCGGAAGCCATTTTATTTTCTGTATATATCAATTGTTAACAATTTACTTTCGTCAGGATGAAAGGATGGTTTTTTTTAGCTTTCTCGTGCTTTCATTTAGCTGGATGCTATTATTTTTGCAGTTTTTGCATCTGGAGGTAACAGAGCTGGCCCCATTCCGGGACCGCATTATACATGGGGTAATTCCTACCGGCCCCAGCCTCCAGCTCCAGGTGTTGTATGGCCAAATTCTCCATCGTATATGAATGGAATTTCTGCTGCTCATACCCCGACCCAAGTCCATGGAGTTCCAAGAGCAGCATCTCATTTGATGCACACAGTTCTGCCCATGAATAATCACCATGTTGGATCAGCACCAGCAGTTAATCCTTCTATTTGGGATAGGCAGCATGCTTATGCTGGGGAATTGTCAAAAGCCTCTGGTTTTCATTCAGGTTCTATTGGGAATATGAATCTGCCTAACAATTCACCACAATCTATGGAATTTTTCTCTCGCATCTTCCCACAAGTTGGTGGAAATTCTGTTGAGCTTCCTATCCCCCAACGAAATGTAGGACTACAATCCCATCATCAGCGGTGCATGGTTTTTCCTGGACGAGGCCAAGTTCTTCCAATGATGAATTCATTTGACTCTTCAAACGAACGTGGTAGAAGCCGAAGAACTGAAGCTGCCTCTAATCAAGCAGATAAGAAGCAATATGAACTTGATATTGATCGCATACTGAGGGGTGAAGACAATCGTACTACACTTATGATAAAAAACATTCCTAACAAGTTAGTACTTCTCTCTTAAATTTTTATAGTTTTTCTCATAATCACGATGGTTTCTTTCCATTAGATTATTGTTCAGTTTTCAGGGTATAATAAAGGTTAGTGCACTGTACGTATAAACTCATGTTCTGTTTTTGCATGGAAGAGTTTTCATGTGATCTTGATGACCATTCAAAGATCATAAGACAGTTTTGCCTTTCATTTATGATATTGTTAACTCATACAAAAAGATTATGCCAGTTTGATTCTGAGAGCATAGTTATTTTTTCTTCTGCCTCAAAATTGAAATTTTTGCAAATGTGTGATAGGTGCTAATTGAATGCCACTTCGTTAGGTGATTTTTTGCTCAACATGGTTTGAGACCATGTGTGGATTTCAAAATTGAAATTTTGCAAATGTGTGATAGGTGCTAATTGAATGCCACTTCGTTAGGTGATTTTTTGCTCAACATGGTTTGAGACCATGTGTGGATTTCTCCACTTAAGTTAACTTTTGGTTTCATGCTCCAATTTTTTGTATCTTTTCTTCGTGTTCCAATTTTTTTGTATCTTTTCTTCATGCTCATTTTACGAGGAGGGAGTTTTTTTTTTTAATTAGTCTCAGGTTTGTCTTGTAACTTCAAGGACTTTTGTCTTCTTGTATTTAAGATGTATAGGGCCACAAGGGGATGCGACCACTACATAGTTATTTCTAATAAATGATGGTTTCTTTAGACTTCAAGGACACAGTTATATAGCTTATAGAACCGATTCTGTTCAAGTAAAGTCATGATAAGATTGTTTCTTACTATCTCTGCTTGTCTTTAGCTACCCAAATTAAATGCATTGTGCTTCAGTTCATTAAATTCCCAAACACCTACATCTAAAGTAGTTCCTAGTCTCATGAGATGATTGGAACCATGTTTATGCCACCTTTGCTCATTTAGTGGAGGAACACGTGCCACTTTGGACTCGACTTCTTTCATCTTATGTTGAGTGCATACACGAATGATTTGAGCCAGTAGAGTTGCTGTTTTATGAAACAAGAGAATTATGTTGCTTTGTGTCTACCATATTAGATTTTCTTTCTTTGTCTGAGGAAATTTATTGGTTGCTATGAGTATGGCTGGTCGCATAATGAAGTTACTATTTCACTGAATGAGGGTTATTGAGAATGTGGCAATATCACTACCAAATTTGCCCCTTATTTTGTCCTTTTCTTCCGTCTGTAGATCTGTTTTTTATTGATGATTTTCCTTTGAAATTAACCCTCGCTCCTACCTAGACAAAAGAAGAAAATAAAAGAAAAGGAAAATGTGTGTTTTCCCTTGCCTTAATCATCAACATTGTCTAGTATTTTGAGTAGCAAGTTGAGCTAATTAACGCAGGGACGTAAAGATGTTGAACTGCGTAATTGATAGTGATATCTATAATATCATCCCATTTCTAATGCAAAAAGGAAGAGTTATTCACAATGTTTTAGTAGTTTTTAACATCAGTTGTTGGTCCCTTCTTGCTCTTGTTACCATCTGAAAGCTCGTAATCCATCATGATTGTAATTGCAGATATACTTCAAAGATGCTTTTGGCTGCAATTGATGAACGCCATCGAGGAACTTATGACTTCATCTATCTGCCCATTGACTTTAAGGCAAGTTTTTCCATGTTCAGAAGCTACCACTCAATTTTATGGGAGAAGTGCCACAAAATATCTTCCTTCGTTCTGTTTCATCACAATTTTGTTGCTTATACACACTTTTTGGTTGCAGAACAAATGTAATGTGGGATATGCGTTCATTAACATGACTGATCCTAGCCTAATCATTCCATTCTATGAGGTTTGTATGCTATTGAAGCTTGCAGGAAGAATGTTGAGGTCATACTTGCTAAGTTTTTATTGACAAAGGAGTGCCCTACTTGCAGGCATTTAATGGAAAAAAATGGGAGAAATTCAATAGTGAGAAGGTGGCATCACTTGCATATGCTCGCATACAGGGAAAAGCTGCTCTCATCGCTCATTTCCAGAATTCAAGCTTAATGAATGAGGATAAGCGATGTCGGCCAATCCTTTTCAACACTGATGGCCCCAATGCAGGCGATCAGGTAAGCAATAGAATAACATAGGAAAGCCTTTGAATGGTGGAATATTTGCTGTTTGTTTGCTGAACACTCCGCAAGAAGTCATGTTGACTTGTATTTCTACAGGTTCCGTTTCCAATGGGGGTAAATGTTCGTACTAGGCCTGGAAAAGCCCGAAGCAGTAACCAGGAGGAAAACCATGATGAAGCTCTAGTAATTTCTGAAAACGATGAGAATTATTCCAGTGGAGACGCATCTTCTTCATGTCCTGCCAAGGATTTGGACCATCCAGTACCATAATTTTTGTGTTCACTAACCTTGAGGACGGTGTAACTTAAAAACTGCATCCACCAAAGTTTGACTTAATTTTTTTAGTGGCTGAAGGTAGGGAAATTCGCTGCAGTTCGTGGCATTAGAGAAAGGAATGCTTAGCCAATGCTAAGTCGTCTCCCCACCCCCTCTTCAAAGGGAAGAAAAAGAAGAAAAAGAAAAAAAAAAGAAGAAAAAAAAGGAGCTCTGAAACAATAGTTCAAGGAGCATCTGTTGGAGCCTCCAAATTTTGATTTCGAGAGTGATATATTATAATATATTACAAGAGATGGAAATTAAAAGGGAAAGACTTCATGTATATGAGTATATGATCCTGGAGATATTTTGTCATGGTTTGACGTGAGCAGATGAGGCTTCCTCTGCTATACCCCCACCTTTTCTTTTGCTTTTGTTGATTTTTTTTTATATTTTTTTTTATTTTTTTTTTAATCTTTTCCCTTCTTACACTTTTATTTTTGGGTTTGACTTGGAAGTTACCTGCAACAGTTGAGAATGTGAGAGACAGACAGAGGGAGCTCATGTGAAATTTTTTGAAATGAACTAATTATCGAAATTTCGGTTGCTTCTGGCTTAAACCTGATGGGGATACCGTCCACTTACTATTCTTATGAGGTTACTATGATATTCCAGGTTAGCAGTCGACTCTGATCGACATCAGCCATTTCTTTGGTTGAGGCTAAACAAAAGGGTACGGCCATATGGCTCTGTTACCATTTTCTTAGCCCAAAAATGGTCAGGATTCAGACCTGGTTCATTGGGCCACCAGCCCCTAAGACTATTAATATGAAATGGACCTAAATAAGGTGATTTTTCTTTAAAGTAAAATAACATTTATAATATACATTGGTTTGGCAAAACTTTCCAACAAAGGATAAGTCATAGCCGTACCTTTTCCACAGCCCACGACTCAAGTTCGATATCGAACGCTAATAGATTGGTCCTTTTCACATTTTAAGATTGGTGTTAGCCATTGATAATCTTTTTGACGTTGATGGATACTCTTGAGCCAATTTTGAACCAAATCATCAATGAATTTGGTTATAAATCCAAACCATTTGAAACCCAAATGGGGAATTGAATGGGAGAAAAAGAAAATTACTCGGTTCTTTTTTTTGTTCTAAATGACCCGAAGCTTCCATTGAGAAAATTTACACACACTATTCCTTTTAGGATCTAAATTATTTTTGGTGACTTCAATTGCTTTCTTTGTTCTTACATAAACTTTCATGTGAGCTTATTTTGTTTCTGTTATCAGTTCTATTCTTGTAATTTTATACCTTCAAATAAGATTATCTTGAATTTATTTGTTTAGATCTAATTTCATTAAATTAAAAGTTAATACAAAAAAAAAAAAAAAAAAAAAAAAAAAAAGGTTTGTCGTCATTGATGACATGGTTGGATTTAGATGGGCGGTTTACAAAGTCAATGACAAATGAGAATACAATAACAATCTCTTCCAAACTCAGACTAAAACCTAATCCAATCATTTATTCTCCAATTCTCACATTAATATTATTCATTTTTCCATACTCTTTTTACGTCACATAATCAATTTAGATCATATATTAAACTCTTTGTTCCCGATAGGACTACTTAAGATATGGTCTCTTTTCCTTACAAACCGTGTTCTACCGTGTTCTAGAAACAAATTGAATATAATCGAGGATTTGCCAATCTATTGGCACGACTAAGTTTAGGGCATGACTCTGATACCATGTTAGACGAACACGACTCTCCACAATAGTATGATATTGTCCACTTTGAGCATAAGCTCTCATAGCTTTGCTTTGGGCTTCCCAAAAGGCCTCACACCAATGGAGTTAGTATTCCTCACTTATAAACCCATGATCATTCCCTAAATTAGCCGATGTGGGACTTTCATCATCCAACAGAATTGACCTAAAGAGATTACCCCAAATCGTCCTCACAACAACGACAAAACGTTACATATACCCACGACACAATTACGATAGGATGTTGCACGTACTTGATCAGTATGTGCCACTCTGTAACGCTTGCAAATGAGTACGCCAAGAGAGAGAGAGAGAGGTAGGTGAGAGGCAAGACCAAAATTGAGAGAGACAATGGTGCCTCCCCCATGCAGCTTTAGCACCACATCCACAACAAGGCAGCAGCCGTGGGATGGTGAAGTTGGTCGGAAGTGAATGGAGCCAGAATCGTCTATTTGGTACTCGATCCATGCGTGTGAGAGAAAATAAGATAGAAGACGATGGATTAAGATTCCAAATTTGGATTCAACACCTAATGGCCCCGAGATTTCCTTGCATCTCCTGCAACATAAGACTATCTCCACAGACTAACACGAATCGTGTCTTCTTTTTTGGTAGATCAATCATATGAACTCTATATTTCGTGCTTTGCTTGGACTAATTCCAAGGTGGGGCGATCTGTTGAAAATTTTTCTAAGATGCATGTAAGTGAGAACAAAACATGTTGAAAATACTAGTGTTAGTGGATGAGGATAATCTTCATTCTTAAGAAGCAAGAAGTAGGTAATGTGACTATATCGCACGAGAATGACAGGGTTATTAAGTGCCGAATCCATATTTCAAATTCTAGGTATGAAACATTACGTAAGGCGTAAAATTACTAAAATTAAGCTTTTAAGTTAGAATTATAAAAAAAATAAAAATAAAATCATGAAATAGGGATATGATAATGAACTCAAACTGTATACAATAAATTCATATCCACAACTGCTTGCTTGATTATTTTCTCTATTAAAAAATTAAAAATAAAATAAAATAAAAACACACATTGGCTTTCTTCCCAAGAAAATTTGACTTACTTTCCCTTTGACTTTTTGACTGAAATTTTTGAAATTTTAAAATAATATTATAATAATTTATTTTTACTCACAACCCATTATTACCTATTTTTATCAATGTCTTTTCACAATCATAATTTTCAACATAATATCATAACACAAAATTTCCCAACAATTTCGATTTAATATTAGATTATTAATTATTTTTTCCAATTACCTCAAAATAATATTATTAATTAAATTTTATTATTTTCTGTCCATTATATTTTGTTATTTTATATACGGGATGTGTCCAAATATTATTTTCTTCCAATACATAATATATAGGATGGCCTACCAATTTTGACTTGAACATTTCAAAAATCAATTTAAAATTTAATTACAAGTTTCAAAATATTCATGAATCAATTTTAATTATTAAATAAAAATTGCAATAGTTGTCTACCTATCATTTTATGGACAGATATTATTAGACCTATAATTGGTCATTAGGCATTTTATATAATAATAATAATCAATTGAGCGGTTACTCGTGAGTTATCATTTAAGTTGTAATTATTGTCTCTCGACATTTTTTAAAGATTTCAAAATTAAATTTTAACCTTCTAAGAGACGGAAAAATTTTCACAATTCTCATTCCGTATTTCAATCTCTTTACAGAGATCAAACTCTCTCCCAGATATATATATATATATATAATTTAGACTGAGTCGAGAAATATACCATCCTCTTCTATCAATAATAAATGTGATAGGAAGGAAGGTTCTTCACTTCTCTCCATGTATATATATATATATAAATATCTATTTGGAAAATAAATAATGGATTTAAAAATTAAGTCAAAACTAAAATGCAAAATAAATGATGAATGGATTCTAATTTTTTGAATTACATCCTAACCAAGTCAGATTTTGGTTGGAGGTTCATTATTAGAATAAGATTTTCAATTAATTCACAAGCACTACTATATTATTTTAATTAATTTTAACGTGGCCTTTTAATAATTGATTTTTTTAGATCTATTTCTCTAAAATATATAAATTTAACCA